TGAGACAAGTTAGGGTGCTCGCATAGTCACCCACTTGGCAGATGCTGTGGCTTGTATCCAGAATGGGAAGGAGAAAGCTAGGATGTGTATTTCCAATGTAGGAGCAAACCTGAGGGAGACTCGGGAGAGAGAGCAGGAGAGGCAACAAAGACTGCTCCACAGATGGACGAAATCAGCATTGCAACAATGAGCATAACAACATGCAGGGTGGGCTGGGTGAGGTTAGGAGGCAGTCAAGGATTTAGCGTGGGATATAGGGGTCCCCTTTTAGACACCGAAGTGGTGGTATTCAGTAAGCAGTTACATGCATCGGACCTGAGTTCAGGAGAGTTGTGTGCTACAGATACAGGTTCGTGAGCCACTGGTGGCCTAGCAAGGTCGGAGAGATCATCTAGGGAGAGCGTAGGGATGCAAAAGTCAGCAAAGAGAGTCCGAGGGTCTCCAGCACTGACCAACCAGGAGGAAGCAATGGGAACCCAGCAGAAAAGACAGAGAAGGAGCAGCCAGTGGTTGGAGAACCGAGATTTGCAATTTAGGTGGAAATCCGCCTGCATCCAACCCCTCTTCCAACACCAAGTTGTGGGAAGGAGCTGTAGGTTGTAAATCTCCTTCTCCTGCACTGGCTACCACAGGGCCAGCCATGTCTCTGCGGTGAGTCCGGGCCCAGACCCAGGTATGGCAGGGCATCTATGGTGGGCTGGAGCAAGTGGGAGCGCCTGGCCATCAGGGGCACCTTGGCTAAAGTGATCCTGGGCCTCAAACTGGCATTTCTGGGGGTCTTCACCCACCCAAGGCAGCCCCAAGCTACAAGCTCAGAAAGAAGCCCGTTAAACAGAGCCCATGGATCTCTGGTGTGCAAAGTAGGAGATGAAGGCAGAAAGATGGGACAAGAAGGGGGAAGCTATGGCCACAGGAAGAGAAGGGCAGCACATGGGGTATGGAGGAGCAGCAGAGAGCTGCCCTGCACGCCACGGGGCTGGTGGCTTTTGTGCTCTTGAAGGTTTTACAATCTTCTGGGCCTTGGTGTCCCATCCAGAAGTAGTGCTGGACCCTGCTTTCCTCATCACTTTGTGATCGGGATCAATCAAGATAATGCAGGCAAAAGCACAATGCAGAGGAAAAGCAGCAACCAGGAAAGGGACTGGATTTGAAGGGAGGGTGAATAGAAGAAACTCGGGAAATGATTCTCTCCACTACAAGAACGCCAGCTCTCCCTATGGCCAGCTAAATCTGGCCACAGACATATTTGGATTTCCTGATCTTGCAAAGCTCTGTGCTTGGCAGTAAGGAATAAGACGATCCAGACAGGAACCTGATTCTCTGAGGGTCCTTGTTGCTGGGCAGCTGTGGGTGGGTGAGCACTTTACACCAGCGGTCTTCAGCCTTTTTTGCACCAGGGACTGATTTCTGGGAAGACAATTTTTCTGCAGACAGGAGTAGGGAGGTCAAGATAATTCAAGCACATTATATTTATTGTACACTTTATTTGTATTATTACTGTGCAATTCATAATGGAATAATTATACAATTTGCCATAATGTAAAGCCAGTGGGAGCCCTGAGCTTGCTTTCCTACAACTAGAGGGTTCCTTATGGCGTGGTGGGAGACAGTGACACTGCAGTGTGTCTCTCACGTCCAGCCTACTCCATAATCTCCTTTTGGTTGCTGTCACTGCAGTAAACCCTGCTTTATAAAGAAAGTCAGGATGCTGGAAACAGAAGCAGGTTTTTCAGTGTTTTCATGGCAATCGAAGGCCATTCTGCCTCAGCTTTAATCCAGAATGTACAGAGATTTGAAGTTGTCTCAAACATACTTTTAAGACCACCTTCTCTGCAGCCTCGAGCAGTTGATCTTCCTCCAGAATGGACCAAATCGGTGGAACTGGCTTATTCACAATAGGGCACCGTTTTATTCTTTCTCAGTTCAGGAGTCTTTTGTGGTTGGGAAGCAATGCTCAAACTCTTTTGGAACCTGTGGTAGAGGCAATCATGCACCAGCTGGGAGAAAGAAGGCCCTGGCTCAGTCTCTTTCAAAATCTCTGCTAATGTTTGAAACATGTCAGAAATCCCAACGTTCACTCATCACCCCCATAATTCTAGTTTTTGGCTTTGAATGCAGCCACTACCTGCCACTCAAAATCTCTGCTAATGTTTGAAACATGTCAGAAATCCCAACGTTCACTCATCACCCCCATAATTCTAGTTTTTGGCTTTGAATGCAGCCACTTTACCTGCCAAATTGAACACAGTCGTCACTCTTTTCTGAAGTGACAGATAGGGTTAGTTGAGCAGGTTGAATGTGTCACAATGAATAAAGCAAGCTTTTCGAACCATTCTGTGTCATGGAAGTGTGCTGCGAGAGAAATCACTGAGGCAATTTTCATAACTCAAAAGCTCTGACCAGTGATCTATTTCAGAAACCAGCTCACTTCTGTGTAAGAGAAGACGTTTGTGCTCCGTGTCTGTCCCCTCACAGAGGTGCATGAGCAAACATGAGTTCGGGGCATGTATTTAATGCAGTTAATAGTTTGAATCACACCCTGCAAAACCTTGTTGCATTTCAGATGACATTTTCAATCCAGCCTTTCTCTCTGGATGACACAGCCTATGAACTCACATTCAGGAGCGACCTGTTTGACCTGAGGTAGTGAAAACAGACAGCTGCCTAATCTCGGCAGCCAGTTCCTCTGTGCACAAACCAACAAAAAAGGACCAGTCCAGCTTTCCCGATACGTAATCAATCACTCAAAGACTGGAGGAGTTCTGCAGCTGTGCTGTTGGGTGGCAACAAAGGGGCACGTAATGTACCCTCCTGCACACACACTCCTGAAAAACATACCGCCCCAAAACAAGCATTGTGTTCTTGCTGTCAACGTCGGGGGGCGCTCTGCCTGGGCAGAGTCTCGTGCTGACTCCTTACTCCCCTCTGCTCTTTCAGCAATTCAGGTAGGGGTGGTGCCAGCTGAAAGAGGAACACATGCCCCTCTCCCAGCTGCAGAATCTCCTGAGGGTTCACAACAGCTGTCCTTCACCGCGGGCACGACCTGCTGCCCACCAGTAGTAATGGGATCCCTGGCTTTGGCAACTGGCTTTAGCCACTGAAAATGACATTCTCGGTGTAGACACATTCGATGAAGTGGTGGTCTTTAATACTTGCTTCTGTTTTTCATCTTCATGGTTTTTTTCTTTCTTTAAAGAAAGATTCCCAAAGTTTGTCTTTTAATGCAGGGTGCTTGGTCTCCATGTGACACGCTAGCAGTGTTGAAAGTTTCGTGGCTTCAGTGGAGAGCTGGTCACCACATATTATACAATGTATCATTGTATAATAATGTGAACTGCCTGCTGCAGGGAAGCCTTAATTTAAGCAGGACTCTCTCTTTCAATAGCAGCTTCTTTTTTTGTTTGTTTGTTTTTTGTATGGGGAGGCAGGCTTCTGCTGACTCAGCCCTGGGATTTTCCAACTTTTCAAAAAAGCTCTCCGAGGAAATTAGTTTTGTTTTAGTTTTTCGACCAGGGTTGGCTTGTGGGCTTCCGCCAACAGTGACAGAGCCAAGTGCACAGCGTGAGGAAGAGGCGGGGATGGAAGTGGTAAAGAGAATGATGGGCAGGCCACACAGGGGCTGACACAGGCGCAGATTCTGAGCGTAGACCTGCCACCCAGTGCAGCTTGGCTGTCACTTGCCACTCACTGCTGGGGTTTTGATATCAGTCTGCAAACACTGACCCACTATGGTCTGCAGTCAGACCTCTCTGTGAATGTTCATCTGGATTGGCAGCCGCTCCCTGGCACCAGCATCACTGCCTCAGCTCCACCTCAGATCAGCAGGGCTAGATTCTCACAAGGAGCAGAAGCCTAGGTCCCTGCACACAGTTTGCAGTGGGGTTTGGGCTGCCATGCGAATGCAATGCTGCCCTGATCGACAGGAGGTGGAGCTCAGGCTGGAAACCCAGAGAACACTCTGCCCCCTTAATGCTACCTCTTGCTATGCAAACCAGGTCCTCCAGGCCATTCTGGGCCATCCTGGGATTCTGGAACCCCTCTGATGTGTTATTATTACTTTGCAATATGGGAGATTGATCCCAGGGCCTTCACTTAGCTACACCCCCACCCCTTCTTTTTTTTTTTAGAGATAGGATGTCCCTAAGTCATTACACCCAGCCTGGATTGGAACTGGAAATCCTGTTGCAGCCTCCCAGAGTGCTGGGATTACAGGTGTGTGCACCTAGCCCGGTCGTCCCTGATAATGCCAACCACTTCCTGTGTTACCTGTTACACCACTGCGGGCTCTGAGGAAGTTGGGTGCATGATGGCATTATCCCCAGCACAGGAGGTTGTCACTGGAGTGGAAGAAACTTGAATTGTGAAAGATTAGCTGCACAAGGAGTACTTGCGGTTTACAGAAGTGTGACACCTATAACCCAGCTCAATCTGCAGTCGACCCATAGGCACATTGAAATCGCAGGAGTGCTGACTCCACGGACTCCTGGAATAGATCATTCTTTGCTTGGAGACCCTGCCCCATGCAACATCTTTAGATGCCAGCAGCTCTGCTTTTCCACTTGAGAAAACTAATTATGTCTCCCTGTACCCTCCAATCATCCTGTGCAGAGCAAATCACCCTGTCCCCAAGAGCTGTGGGCTGGAGCAGTACTTCTCACCATGCAGCAGCCCCTGGGGCTCCTTAAGATGCCTATTCTCAGGTGAGGGGCCTGAGCATCTGTGTTCGTAGCTTCTGATGAGCACTGAAGGATGTTAGAACAGCTGGGCATGGCAGTGCACGCTGGGAGGCTGAGGCAGGATGACCTCAAGTTTGAACCCAGGCTGGGCAACTGAGTGACGTATGTAGAACCTGTCTCAAAATAAAAGATAACGAAGGGCTGGGGATGTAGCTCAGTGGGAAGGTGTTGGGTCCAGATCCTAGTATATCCCCCCCAACACACAGAAGGGTGGTCTTGTCCTGAGTGCACATAGGAAGCTCTAACTTTTCGCCTCCCCCACAGGAAGATTTGAACACAGGAAGACTCACTCACCCATGTGACCTGAGGTGAGGGCCCATCGAGGAGAATGCAGGAGAGATTCGTCCAGGCCAAGCCAATGAGACAAGAGCAGAGTGCTAGGCTCCTACCTTCCTCCCCAGGAAGATGACAAGGTGACAGCCACCCAGAACCAGCTCCCGAGGGAGGCCACCCCCCCGCCGCACGTGACGCGCTGGTCAGCAGCACAGTGAGCGCAGAACGCCAGCATCTCCGAGACGGGCTGGGCCGCACTGCCTGGGGCTGCACAGAGCCCCTCGAAAGGATCCCCTGTGTCCCTTGTCTTCTGGTCTCCAGCGAGGAGGCCGCCGCCTCCACCCCCGCACCCTGAGGTCACGGTGTTTGCTGGCTTTTGTAGGTGGCGCAGCCCTATCAGGAAACACCCGGAATGTCAGCACTCACATACGAACGTCCGCCGAGCACGATAACCCACGTAGTCACTCAGGCACCGAGGGACAAAAGTAGGCAGAAGGAGCTTCTGAAATTCTTTAGGAGGAGGTAGGTGGTGAGTGGGCTTCACGCTCAGCCCCAGGCTCCTCACGCCCCGTGCAAAAGCAGCTAGGAAGGTAAATAAACCCACAAGGGGGTCCCCTGCTCTGTGGTGGCCGAGGCCAAAGAACCTCAGCCCTTCTGTGTCCACCATTGTGGTACTGGCCAACGATCCTGAGGGTGAAGGTGCTGTGGGAGACAAGGTCCCAGGTGGGTTTCTAGGTGCTTGTGTGAAAAGAACATGATGTCAGGAAGAGGCAGCCAAGCATATGCTCGGAGTGAGAGCGCTGGCTCTTGCACAAAGGAGAATGGCCAGAGCGCCGAAGGCACTGGGTGTGAGGGTCCTAATCGTGGCTCCGTTGGGTCTTCCAGAGCGAGTGCCATGGGTGGGTGCTGAGGTCAGCGGCGTCTGCTGACGGTCCTTACTCACAGTGCAGAAAGGTTGCTCCAGGCCCTGCCAGCGGGGCTCACGTCCGGTGCTCTCCTTCTCTCTCCTCGGGTACTGGGCCTTCGGACAAAGCTGGTGTCGGGTGGGGGTGGCCCTGGGTGCTGCCAGGGTTCAGGCGAGGGCCGGGGAGCTGCTCAGTAGCCCCTGTTGTACAATATCAGAAGGATTCAGCTCCGCTTTGCAAGTGCGGGGCCTGAGGCTCAGAATCTCCCTGGCCCTGATCAGTTGGTGAGGGACACGTCCTGGATGGGATGGTTGAGGCCTTGGGTCAAGCCCCGAGATGTGCAGCCACGGTCAGGCACGGGCTTGGGACACCAGATGAGCTCTGGGGGGCGTGGGTTGGTGCCAGTTACTCGCTTGGGTCTCTTGGCCAAATGCATGCCGTGCTCTGGGGCTGGGCCAGAGTCTGAGAACCACAGTCCCCAAGCCTTGTGAGCTGCTTGAGTCCTGGCTCCTCCCGGTCCCTTGACTTTAACAGGGGCAATGGGAAGCTCCAGCCCTTGCCTTTGGGGGAACACAACACAGGTTCACCCTACCTAGCTGTGCTCTGGGCTCCGCTCCCAGGCAGGGACCAAGCTTGGATGCCACCCTCCCAGCAACCCAGCTGCACACCACACCCGCACCTCGGAACCTGCAGGCCTAGCTACCAACAGGCACGTTTTCCCTCCAGTTCCCACCCCACGGGCTGCTCCTGAGTTTCTGCTGCCTCCAGTCTAGAGTCAGAGCCCTTCAGCCTTTTCCCACGTGTGTAACAACCACCCAGGGTCAAGTCCTGTCCATGTGGGACCAGTTTTCTGGGTCTTGCTGGACCCAGACGGACCTGGGGGAGGTTTTCATGGGTCGGCGACAGAACTAAGACAGAAAAGTGGAACTAGGTAGAAAGGAAGGCTGAGTGGTAGGAAGAATGGAAATGACCTGTGCAAAGGCCCTGTGGTCTGAGGACTCCCACATCTTGGGGACCAAGAGGAGACCCCCAGCTAGAGTGAGGGGACCTCAAAGGCAGCCCCAGCACAGTTGTGCCTCCTGCCCTTCTTCCTGGGGGCACCCAGATGAGATGCTAAAGGGTTGGGCCTGACTTTCCCCAGATGTGTACCATGAGATTTGCATTCTGTCTTCTGCATGGAGATAGGTGTGCATCAGAGGTCTGCCATAGGCTGGCTTTCCGGGAAGAGAGGGAGGACTGGAACTTGAGCCCACGCTGCCCACGCACCTGTGACCTGGGGCTGGATGCTTCTGCCGAGTAAGCGACTCTAACTCAGAGGTTGGCCCCACTCAGGGACTGCTGCCCTGGCTGGAAGGGGGCGTGGGAGCTGCAAGTGCTGAGATTGAGCTCCAGGGCTGGACTTCCATCCCCTACACCGCTGTCCTGCTGGCACAGGGCTCCTGGTTCTTGCATGTCTGAGGAGGTACGAACCCCAGTGCTTTTCGGATTTCTCAGCAGTATGTGTTTCCAGTTTTTCAGGGGAGTTGGTCACATCCTTACCACCTCTTCATCTTCTCTGCTGTCCCTTCCCCTCCCTCCCACCTCTTCCCAGAGCCCCTTCCCAGCTCTGAAAGGTCTACCTCTGTTTCCTACCATGTCTTTTATTTTTCTCTTTAAATTATTTATACTTTGAGTTTTGGAGAAGCTGTGTGATATTTAACCCTCTGTGTTTGATTTATTTCACTTAACATTATGGCCTCAAGGTGCATCCATTGTCCCACAAATGATTCAACTTTATCTTTCTTTATGACCGAGTAGTACTCCAGCGGGTGTGGACACCACTTCATTTATCTTCTCCTCCCTCCATGGACACACAGGCTGCATTGGACACGTGGGTGTGCATTGATCGTGTCACAGGAGGACTTTGACTCTTTTGATACCCTAGTGTTTTAAATCTCTCATCCTAGCAAACTGGACATTGGCTTGCAGCTTGGATGTCCAGGGGGCCAAGGGACTCAGGATGCCCCTGCTGGCAAAGAGGCAGCAAGGACAGGAAGGAGTGACCCTAACCTACAGCAACCCTGCCAGGTGGCAGGCAGCTCGATGTGACAATGACTCCGTCACCTGCCCGAGGGCCCGAGGCTGCCGCCTGCTCACCACAGCTGCAAGAATAGCCGCCCCCTGGGAGCCGGGCACATTTCTCTGACACTGCAGCGCCACCACCCTGTCCCTGCCCGGCCTCCGCCTCTCTTCTCACACAGCTGACTTCTCTCGAAATAACAAAATCAGAAGTCACAGTCTCCTCATTTCACATGAATCCAGGTCACTGGGTCCCCTCTCCAAAGGAAATGTAGCTTCCTGCGGCGGTGAGCCTGCAGTCTCTCCCTTTCAGCAGAAGTGGGTCAGGCTGCAGCCTGGTTTCGGAGCAGGGATCCACGGTGACCTGAGCCCCGGCGGGTGGGCAGCAGCTGGCCTCTCTGAGTTCGCCCACCCCACACCACCGCTGGCCACGGCTCCACTCTGAGGCGTGGACCGATGTCTTTTCCGTGGCTCGGTCTTGCTGGGGCTTCCATTTTCCTGTGAAAGCCATTTGCGGTCTGCGACCCTGGCCACTGTGCGCTGAGAAGACAGCAGATTTACAGCAGGCCTGGAGAGCTCCAATCCAAGGATGCTTTTCCCCGCTTGCAGCCAGTAATTTATTTTTAAAAGATCGCTCTGTTATTTATGGGTCTCAGTGACTGTGACGGCTGAAGTGAACTGCATCTTATCAGATAAGCAAAACTAAGCAGATTAAAGGGAAAAGCTCACATTTCAATCAGAAGGACGCATGCCAGGGTGTCTCAGATGTGCGGCTGATCTGCTGGGTCCTGGCTCCTTTTGTCCCTGAAGAGCCATGAGGTTCAGGGCAAAGCACGGAGCCTGCACCAGGCACTCAGGGTCACAGCTTCTGGGGCTCCCGGTGACAGAGCAGCACAGGGCAGGACAGCCACACGGGTGGCCACTGGGAGCGGGACTGCCGGAAACATCTGGGCCACGTGTACTTTCAGCAAAAGCTACCTACACGGCCATCATGGCCTTTGTCTCTGCCTCCTGTAGGATGCTCATCTCGAGACATGGGCCTGAACATGGCACAAGATAAACCCAAGCGGCAACCTGGCTTGGTGTCCCGAGCCCTGCTGTCCAAATAACACTGTAATGGAGCCAGGCAAACCGGGGGGGGGCGCTTTATTCTCCCCCAGAAATGAAGATCGGCTTCCCCGCTACACAGCCACAGCGATTCTCCCCAGTACACAACTGTCTATTGTTCTCCTGCAGCTCGTTACCATGGCGATCTAATTAAAGCAGCATCCGAGGCTGCCAGCCCCTAGGTAGGGCCTCGTGTGTAGCTCTTCCGGGCTGGGGCCACGTGGCCTGTCCCTCTTCAGTGGCTCCGCTGGGTTCTGAGAGGGACTAGGCTGTCCGGGAGATGACCCAGAAAATGCCTTTGCCTTGGTGAGGGGCTGTGAGTTCAGCGCTGCCCCCCATGTCTTCTGACAAGGAGAAGAGGAGCCAGGTGTTGCAGTCTCGTTCTGCGACCTCGGCACGTCACGGTCTCCTCCTGCAGAGTCAGGATGACGTTTCCTGCTTTGTAGAGGAAAGAAATGACCAGGAAAGTGTCTTGAAAGGCAAAGTGGAAGGTGCGCTCGAGTCCCTGCCCCTTCTGTGCTGCCCCTTGGCAATGGCAGAACCAGTGCCTGGAGGGCAGAGAGCCTCGCCCCTCTGGATGCAGCATCGCTTCCTGGGCTGCAGGAGGTGCCTGGTTGGGAGCACTGCCGCAAAATGTCACCTCTTAGTTTGCTTTTGATATTGCGGGCTGGACCCGGGGCCTCCACATTGACCCATATCCCCAGTCCTTTTTCATTTTTTATTTTGAAACAAGGTCTTGCTAGGTCACTCAGTTGTCCAGACTCGTTTCAGACTTGTGATTTTCCTGCCTCAGCCTCCCAGAGTGCTGGGATCAAGGATGTGTACCTCCGTGCCTGGTACACAGGTGTTATCTTCTAATCCTAGCACCCATCCTACAAGGTGCCTACTACCTGTCACCTATGTTTTAGAAGAATAGATGTCAATTCAGAAAGGTGAGGTCACTTAATCATGGTAGCACTTCTCTTAAGTCCGGACTGGGCTATGAGCACCCGCCACCCCATAAACTCATGCTTCTCTTAGCCCTCACTCTACCTCCTTTCTGGGATGTTGCTGAAACCCAGGAGGCAGGCACAAGGTCACACGACAGGCCCAGAGCGATCTAGCGCTCAGCGCCGTGCCCAGGAGCTCTGTGGCAGGCTCCACCCCAATTCCAGCATCCCCACGCCTTCCCCTTCTGATGGGCACGGACCCTGCCACCTGCCAGGGCCCGGCCCTCCTCCCACCTCCCCCGCCCAGCCCTAAGTGACTCGCAGTGTCGGGACATGTGCTACTGATTACCTCCTGGCCCATCAAAGGCCGGCTGGTTTACCTTGTGGCCAGAACAGCTCAACACCTCGTACACCCACCACAGCCCTCATTTCCTCTTTGTGAAGATTGGGGAGCAGCAGCATTTCAAAGGCTGCCAATGAAACGAACCCTGC